ATAGGACCCCTTTAAGAAGTGGTTATGGTTACATGGTTTATTTTAATGGCACAAATCAAGCACAAACTGCACCTATTTGGATGGCTCGGGGTGGAGAGTGATGTCAGTGCCCCGAATTGCACTTATTATTTCTGAGGACGGGAATAAATAAAATGGCCCAATCCCAATTCTACTCCTTAGCCCTTCCCCTTTCCCCTACCCCTCCGTTGTGTGTGTGTGTGTGTGTGTGTCAGTAAGCAGCGCATTAATACAGAACGGTAATTAAAGGCTCTAATGCGCACACCAGTATAGGTGTGTGTATTATAGGAGCTAGACGACATATGATGACGTGTGACGGTATAGTAGTGGTGTCCCAATTCTTAGGGCAATATTTTCACCCCTACCCCTTGACACTCTGTTTCAAGGGACAAGGGGAAGGGGTAGGCGGAGGGGTAGGGGAAGGGGAAGGGGTATAAAATAGAATTGGGATTAGGCCAATGTTAATTTACACACTGGCACAAATCGAGCACAAATGAGTAGCACCATTTTGGAATGATTTAGATTGCATGGGGTGGAGAGTGACGTCACTGTTCCTAAAAAGTTTTTTGTTCTTTTTTTATTGTTATATTTAAAAAGTGGTCATAGTTACAGAGTTTCTTTTAATGGCACAAACCGGCACAAATTGAGAACAAACGAACGACACTGGTTTAGAGAAATTTGGATGGCATGGGGTGGAGAATAATGTCACTGCCCTGAATTATGTTTGTTTTTTCTAAGGAGGGGAAATAGATACAATGTTCATATTAAAAGCACAAATCAAGCACAAACAAATCTAAGGAAGGAAAGTAGATACACTGTTTGTTTTAACGACACAAACCGGGACAAACCATGCACAAATGAACTACGCCGAGCGATTTGGGCAACATGAGGTGGAGAGTGACGTCACACAGTCAAAAAAATAATCTTTAATATCTCAAACACCAAACCAGCACAAATGTTTGTTTTTGCTGCACAAACATAGCACGAACGAATGGCATAGTTTTGGTGATTAGCCTATTTCTTTTTATAGGGTGCCAAATTCACAGAGGTCAAGCACGTGCTTAGGTTGAGGGTGGATGATGACTACAGCGTAAACTTTACTCATTGAGCAATCGCTGTGTTACTGGTTACTTGTTCATTACTTATTACTTGCTCATCTCATACATTACATTGTAATTATTACTTATATAATTACTAGTTATTTGTTTCAATGTGCTTGTTCTAGTCTTAGTTTTACAAACTTAAATTAAGGCTGAAATAGACTACATGACTGTTCCCCAGATTTTTGCTCTAATTTTCAGTTTAGAAGGATTGACGCTAGTTGCCGAAAGTCATAGCCAGTCTTTAGATTTTGATCTGAGTCTGATCGATTTCATAGAAAACTAAGTAGTGTATGATGACCAAAGATATCTTTATGTATATATAAATTTATAATTTGTTATATATATAAATATATAATTTATTAACTTTAGACTATGATATCATCCAGTCGGAGGATATCAAACATGTTTGATATTTTGAGCCAATCTAAGAACACGTATTGTTTTTATTTCCGTGCGTCTCCTAACAACGAGGTGCACATTTCTGCGTGAGTTTGTTTGGAATGATTTGAAAATCTGGTAGTGTATAATCCTCATTCGCTTAGTGTATGATGCCCAGTTTTTCCTCTGTAATCGTTTACAAGTGTGTTATGCCTAATGTTTTAAAATCTTAAAAGTTGTGTAGTGTATCCTAGTCTTTAATTGAAAAAGTTATTTTTTTCTTTTTTAATTTAAGTTCTTTGAACTATTTGTTATGACAAAATGTTCAAGATTGTTTTTAACTATTAATAAGGTTAATTGTATTTTTTAGTGTACATAGTGTATAGTGTACTTAGTTGATTACTTATTTATAATATTTAATTATTTGTAATAAAATCAAGAAAAACAATTGGGCCGCTAGCTAAAAAGCTAAAAAATCGGGTAGTTTAAAACTGTGGATTATTATATTAATAAAAATGTTCATACTGAACTGTAATTTCCTTTTAATATTAAAGCTGTCTCGGTATATGCTGAACCACATCAGTCAACCCTATTTTACCATCCTTAGTCTATTCAAAACACCTGTTTATAGTATATAATACAGCCTCACATATTTTTGCCAAGAAAACAGTGTAAGTAGGTGTACAATCACAAGTGGCAGCATTTCACATCCACAAGCTATACATCATCCTAGGCACATGCAGTTATTTCCCTTGTGCTTGACTTATGTGAAAGGAATGAATATGGAAAAACATGTAGATTTTCATGATATTCTTCTTATTTGGGTTAGAATACAATCCAGATCTGCATATGAGCATAATAATAATGGAGAATTCTGTGGGGTGCAGAGTGAACTGGAGGGAGGAGAGAAAGAGCGATGGGTTGGGTTGGGTGGTGGGGGATAAAGGAGAATGCTGTGGGGTGCGGAGTGAACTGGGGGGAGAGAAAGAGCGACGGGTTGGGGATGTAGAGGTAGAGAAAGAGAGGGAGGGAGGGAGGGAGGGAGGGAGGGATAGAGGGTAGAAAGCAATGAGAGGATCTTGAAATTGTGCGCTAATAAAATTCGAGGTCATTTACATCTGAGATGGGACTGAGTGGCAGGCGTTACCATGGCGACTTTCCCACGGGTCTTCAAGCGCTCTGCGCTCCCTGACAGCAGCAGAGAGAAAGAGAAGGAAGGGAAAGAGGGTGCGCGTTATACGGGGAAACAGTGAAAGCAGAGGGATCGCGCAAAGCGGGACTGTGGGGTTCAGCCGAAGGAGAGACAGGAAGAAAATAGGCAGCAGAGGATGCAACAGAGGAAAAGTGTGTATGTGGTGTGTGTGTGTGTGTGAGAGAGAGAGCAGTGTCTTAGAGTGAGACTGGCTGCATGGCTAAGCCTTCAATTTTTAATCAGCATGCACCAGGAGGCAGACACACCGAAGGAGTGACTTAATAATGCACAATTAAATTAGAAACTGGGCCCAGAATACAGGTAGATTCTTTCAGCCTGTCTGTCTCACTCATTTGTACTCAAATACCTGCTCATTCTCGCCCTTAATCGCTTCTTCCTTGTGGTATTCACTTGTCTCATTGCTCAGCCACTCCTTCATTCCAGCAGTTTTTGAGCAAGTCGTAGTTTCCCATGCTCACTTCCGTATTCTTTCACTCATCACAGGGCTTCACCTGTTCTCTTGAAATAAGGCCAGAAACATACTTGACACAAGTACGCAGATGGCTGATGTGGTCCAGTTGAACATACTTGACATGCACTGTGTTGGTCTGGCGGTAACAAACCTCAGTACTCAAGGGGGCGATAGAGTTCCCTTCAAATGTTTTTATTTAACCAGATGTGTTATTCAGATATGTTGCTGTAAACATGCTGACTTTTCTGACTTTGACTTTGCTTTTCAGGCTGTTGCTAAGCCTTTACAGTAGTTGAAAGAATGAAAAAATGGACTGAAAAAGAAGAAAGTTGATGCTAATTCCCACTATAGTGCCCCTTATGGCAGTCCGATACATTTCACAACAGAATTGATCTTGCTTAGCTGGAAGTGTCTTTATTCACATAGTTGAATATGTTTCTGGCAGTGTTGTCACAGTACCAAATTTAAGTAGTTGGTACCAACACCAGTAAAAATAAATAAATAAACATTTTGAATAAATGATATTAGTTCATTATTAATGCTTTTAATAGTTATAAGTAAATACAATTATATTAGCATGCAGCCTTACATAATTGAACAAAACATCAAATATCACAAAACACACGTAAATAGAAACCTTTGATGAGCTTGAAAGCAGCCATCCATTAGTGGGTACCGGATTGACTTGGTACTTGGTACTGGCAACGTTACGTTTTTAAAATGTAAACATCAACATGGTACCAAAGTACTGGTATTTATTACAACACCAGTTTCAGATCTATGTCACAAGTCAAACTGACAAACAAAAATGCAATTTTTTTCTGTTCAGTTATAATGTACACTAGCATTCAAATGTTCGGGGTCAAGACTTTTTTAAAATCAATATTTTTATTTAGCAAGGATGCTTTAAATTTATCAGAAGTGACAGTAAAACTTACCTTACAAAAAATTCTGGAATCCTGAAAAAAAGTACAACTTATTCCAACATTGATAATAAGAAATCATTCTTGGGCACTAAATCAGCATATTAGAATGGTTTCTAAAGGATCATGTGACAGTGAAGAGTGGAGTACTTGTTCATTGGTCTCCTTAGTTATACTCCCTGTTCTGTTCAGTCGTTGCTGGTTATTTGCAGGTGTGTGCTACGTTTGTTCCTGTGATTCTCCTCTATTTATTCTTTATGAATTTATAATTAAAATACTATTTTTGGATAATACTCTTTCGTCATTTGCTTTAAATGGCACTACACATGACAGCTAGTAAAAATTGCCATTGGAGTAACTGACCTGTTGAGCGGTATTATTGTATCTTTGTTAATTATTTTCACTTTTTTAATTATTATTTTTGTCATTCTTCGTTCTTTGTTATAATGCTGTAATTCCACACTTTAAACAAAATGGAAATATTAGGAACAAAATCAGGTCTTTGTTATGAAGAGAATCACTATTGTATGACACAGTGATGTGTGCTTGCAAGGAAATCCATTCCTGTCTCTAAAATACTGATGAGATGTGAATGGCCGGCCATGTTCCTAGCATACTGGTTAATTAAAGTAGAGGGGGTGGGTCGATGACGATGAGCAGCCCTGCTCTCAGGTGTTTCAGTGAATATAGCAGCAGCCCTGATTCCTCCACTGTCTAGGGGGCCTCAGTGGTGTGCGGAGCTGCTTCAGTCTCTCCCTTCAGTAACGGCTGTCCTCCACGCACACAAATAGCCATCAGAGGATAATGAGAGCCATGATCCTTTGACGCCATCTGTCACTGGAGGGTGTGCATGCACAGGCTACCGAAACCAGACAAAACATGCACACACACACACACACACACACAGGCAAGAGGGAAGGCAGTAGTTGCAGTGGAGGACCCATTTCATTTCTTTTCTTTTCAGTATAACTGCATTTCCAGGACTGTCCATCTTAAGCGTTACATTTAACAATGAGTAGCTTAATACAAGCTATTAATCTGTATAAAATACTGTCTACAAGTACGAGTGATTATCTATCTTTCTGTCTTTGTTTCTATGACGTATACCAAAACATCTGATATAGTGAAGTTATTCTGAATAGGCTTTTATTACAATGTCACATGCTACAATTTAAAAATGATAGATATTTAGCTTGTTTGTTTGATCCTTTTTAGCTAACAGGTCTTTATTTTATATAATTTTCATGTAAAATACAGAATATTCAGAAATGTTCTCAATCCGCTGTCATAACATTGGTAACTGCAGCAAATGTTGCATATGAGAATACATTTCATTCTTTTCATTTGATTAATCTTCAATGATCAATATCTTCTGCATTGTCTGTTTCAGCAATACTTTACAATAAGTTTCAATTTGTTAACATGAGTAAATGCATGACTGTACGGTGACTTGATCAACAATACTTTTGTAACATTGTTACACCTTCTAATGTGCTATTGTTCATTCATTTGTATTCATAATACATTAGTTTATACAAATTTAAATGTTACAGTTTATTAGTAAATGTTGAAATTTACATTTACCAAAATTAATAAGGTCTGTAAAAAATATTATTCTTTTTTTGTTCATAATGCCTCATGTATTATCTACATAATACCTAATGCATTACGTAATGTTAACAGATTTTAAAGTGTTACCTCTGTTTCTTTTTATATTTCAGATTTTCTGTTGTAAATTGTCGTTCAATTTGCTCTTCTAACTATTTACAGTACATTAATTCAGGTTCGGTGGTTCTTGCTCGTACAGACTGGGGTAATGTGCTTCATTTAGGGTCACAATGGTGACCATTTTTTTTAAACTCTGTTTATGGGTTACCTCTTAAAAGATTCAAACCTGCATGTTTGTGTTACCACTCCAGAGCTTTAACAGTTATGCTACCACCAAAGCCAACTGACTTTAGATGAAATTATCAGGAATAATAATAGTAATAAAAAAACACATTGGACTGACACAAAGTATTGCTTAACAAAGCCCAGAGGCACAATTGTTTGAATAGTGAAGAAGAAATTTGTCTGAACGACTGCAAAACCAACTCATTTTGAATGAACATAGCTACAGTTAAGTTCATTGAGGTGACAATATCCAGTCTTTCCATTGTCTGGTGAAACTGGACAGTGTGTGTGCGTGTATGTGTGCCCTTCAGTGTTCTGGGGACTTCCCCTCTCACTCCTTTCCGTCTCCCCGTGCAGGGAGGAGATGTTAATGGCTCTCTGGATGTGTTAATTAGCTAGAACAGTGGTTAATGAGGAAGGGTGAAATAGAGAAGGGAAGAGAGAGAGTGTGTGCGTGTCTTTAGGTGGTTATGTGTGAGGGTGTGTATGAGCGGAAGGGCGTGTGTATTCAAGTGGCACATTGGATCGGTGGAAAGCTTATACAGTGGGTCGTCTCACTCTGAAGGCAATGGAGGTCAGATGAGGGCAAGAATCTTAACTCGGTCATTATAACCATGACCACAGAGTTAGAAAAATATGTAGGAAAAACAGCACCATCTACAGGCCTGGAGGTGTCTGTCTTTGTTTAAAGCTAAAATAAAAAAAAGATTTTGACCGAGGAGAAAAGTCAGAGGATAAAATTAATGCATTTAAACTGTGGTTCAGTTAATGGTTAAATTAAACTGATTTATTTAAAAAATATGTAGGAAAAACAGCACCATCTACAGGCCTGGAGGTGTCTGTCTTTGTTTAAAGCTAAAATAAAAAAAAAGATTTTGACCGAGGAGAAAAGTCAGAGGATAAAATTAATGCATTTAAACTGTGGTTCAGTTAATGGTTAAATTAAACTGATTTATTTTTTTTTTGTTTCATTTGAACCATTTGTATGTAGCTTGATGCATTTATGTATTTGTCAGATGCATTTATACACAGCTACTTACATTGCACCCAAACTGTACACTGTACTGTACAAACACGACATTGCCATTGCTAATGGAATGCTGTTCTATAGTAGCAAACCTATAGAAAGAGACAATTAACCAATAATTGGTTCTTTACAATAAGGTTCTTAACGTTAGTTAACATTAGTTCACTAAGGAGGTTTACAGCATTTACAAATTTAAAGCATTTATATAGTCTTATAGCATTTATTAATCTTGTTTAATTTATAAATATCCTATTGTTCAGTGTTGATACATTCTAGGTCATAATGAATTGAAGTGGTAGTTCACCCAAAAAAATTAATCATTTACTCACCATCAGGTCGTTCCAAATGTGTGGAACACACACATACACACACACACACACACAAAAAGTTATTTTGTTCCACAAAAGAAAAAAAAATCATACAGTTTTGAAACGATGAGGTTTATGGGAGAATTTACATTTTGGGATGAACTATCCCTAACTAATGACACTAGATAGTTACATTTTCACAATGCTGATCCCTAAACTTAGACACACAGTAGTTAGAGAGAGAAAAAGTCAAATGCAAAAGAGAGAAAAAAAGTGAGTGACAGAAAAAATGTGTGCGTGTGTGAGAGAGAGAGAGAGAGTAAAAGAGAGAGTTGTGGGTGCGAGCGAGCGCGTTAGGAAGAGAGAGAGTGAGTGAGCCTTTATTCTGAGTGGAATAGCTAATGAGGGCCCTGCGGAGCCTAGCTTTGCTGTGCGCGGTCGTAATGAACAGTGGCAGCCTGGCACGCCGCGCCCATGAGCTTTATTATTCACACGCATACATCAGAATACGGCAGAGAAATTATGCAAATACTGGGAAGAGAAAGCTAGAGAGAGGGAGATGATGATGGAGAGAGGAAGAGAGGCTGAAGGGTGGGGGGGATTATTGGGGGAGAGAGAAGGAGGGAGCCTTTACAGCAGGTTGGAATTTGTTTTTTAATGCTGAAATAAAAAGAGGCTCTGCTTCAGAGAGGAATCACGCTCTATTTTCTGAGAAGGCTGATTTAAAATGTATAGCTGCCACGTGTGTGTCTGGAAGTGAGTATTTGTGCATCTCCTTTATAGGAAGGAACGTGTGAGTCTATTGTAACACTGTATTGTAAATCCATCAAATATGTTTGAGTTGCAGATATCCTCTGTACGTCTTGGTGAGCATATGTGCATGCATTTGCATAGCAGTGCAGGGGATGCAGAACTGAAGAGAAATTATTCTCATTTTAAAGAAGACTGGCAAGTCTTTCATGTGCTTCTTTTAGGTCCCATAACTAGCACTCTCACTAAAGACGTACATGAGAATATTTGAGGAAGGCTTAACATGAGTGGCCACTGCATAACTCGTCCCACGCTGTTGTTGTTACGCAAATGATGCCTCAAATCATATGGTTTGTTAATGATGTGCTGTTACTTTTCTCAGCAATCAAACTTGTGGACAATTAGGCTATTTTCATTTCCCAAATTCTTATTTTTAGGCAGGTAACCGAGCCTTATGAAGGACCAGAAATCGAATTGACTTTTGCTTGAGCTAGTAAGGAAACACCTAGAACCACTAGCAGCACCCTAGCAACCACCAAAACAACCAAGCAATAACAAGGTACTAAAAACACTCTGGACACCCTAGCAACCACATAGCAATAAATAAATAAAATATAAGCTATTAAAGTTTAAATCTAATTAATTACATGATGTGCCTATAATTAATCCAGTTAATCGCAAATGAATCACACATCAATTGAGAAATTACTCTCCAAAATATCATGTAAAGTCATTGTGTTAGATGAGAAAATCATTGAATCGACAATACAAAAAGTAGCTTTAGAAAGAAACATTTTTATTCAACCTTGTGTAAACAATGATAATAATTGAGCAAAACCAAACAAATTTGACAATATTATAATACAATATTAACTTCTTGCTTATTAAACTATTGTTTAAAATCAGTATGACATTTGCAATTGTTCAGATATTTGGGAAATTAGGGAAAAAACAGTAGTCTTGCTTGTGTGATATTGCTAAACCAATAGGCTTCCAATAGGCTACATCATGCTGTCTGTCATCGTCCTGCATCATGTTCGTCAGCACCTGCATGTACTAGATGACATGCATGTTTAGGCGAGGTGTGTTAATGATTTTAATGTGTTATTTGTCCATAATTAATTGCACCAAATTAACGTTAAATAAACAGACCTAGTTATAAACACTCAGAGCTCCTTAGCAACCCCAGGACAATGCAATAAAAACACTCAGAATACCTTAGTGACTGCATAGCAACTGGAAACCACCTTAGCATCATAGCAGTGACTTTTGCACAAGTAAGCCTCAGTTAAAATTTTTTCAGAAAATGTAAGATGTAGCTCCCTGTAGCCTTTTGTTTCAAACATTCTTGACTATTAAATATTACTGCAAAATGCTGGCAGTAGTAATTTTGGGCCGTAAATGCATTATCTTTTGCACTGTATTATAAATGAGCTGCTGGCAAGAGTGGAAAAGGTTCTTCCAATGGTTTTACGGTGTAGAGGTCATAAACTCTTGCTTACGTTCCTGAGGCTGCTCTCCTCCTTCAGACTGGCCTTATATGGACTGACTGGGTCTGCTTCAGCTTCACCTCTCCTGTACACCCTTTCTCTTTCTTTCTCCTTCTGTTGCTCTGTATTTCCGTCTCATGTTCTGACCCTCAAATTCATGCTTCTCCAAGCAGTTCAATGTAGTGCTGAATGAGGTTATGTTTTATAGTTCTTAAAGCACTTTCAACAGTTGTACCTTTTAAAATTAATGTATGTATTGATATTCAAGGTGTTGTTCTGATTGATATTAACATCAGGTCAAACTGTCTTGAGAACCTCTCTGCAATGTTGAGCAGGTTTATTGTGTACTAACTTTTAACTTGAAAGTGTATTGCAGTAGGGATTCAGTTTATTTAAAATTAGCTGTCTTACCTTGTCTTAATGTAACTAGTGTTAGCATTGTAGTAGCCTACTAGCATGTAAGCTTTGTGTGGGAAAGCCCATCATGACAAAGGTCAGACCGGGAAAGCCCCAGTTGCTTATGGGAAAAAAACATGTCTGGGAACTTAGTAATCCTTAAATGGCTATCCAGGAAGTTTTAGGTGAATTTTTTACTTGAATCTGTCCCAGGAAGTTTGATTATTTGCTAGGTTTGGATTATTATTAACAAGAAATCCTTATTTCTTGACTAAAAATGATTGTGCACACTAATACAATTAAAACGTCTTTAAATATTTGCTCACCACTTGTTTGCCTGAGTGGTTCCATTTGCTTTGCTATCAGAGCTCTACCTATTAAAATAAATGACTAAATAACACTTTTTTAGGTTATGATACTTTTATTGTAAACTACTGTTCAGAGGTTTGGGGTCAGTATTTTGTTATTATTATTTATTTGAATTACATATTCAAATAAATGTATTCAAATATAAAACAGTTATTTTAAACTAATATTTAGCAATATTTCTGTTTTTACTGTGTCAGCCTTGGTGAACATAAGAGACATAAACAATCTTGCCGACCTCAAACTTTTGAACTGTAGTGTAAATATTCATTTATAAAACATTATTTTTAGGTATTATTCAATCTCTCAATTTGGTGTATCATCTATACTCAATTGACCCTTCGCAAAGACCCGCCCCCCTTAGTTACTGTTGCTACGTTCGACAATATGGCACTCTCATGCCACACGGGTTCCATTTGCTTTGCTATCAGAGCTCTACCTATTAAAATAAATGACTAAATAACACTTTTTTAGGTTATGATACTTTTATTGTAAACTACTGTTCAGAGGTTTGGGGTCAGTATTTTGTTATTATTATTTATTTGAATTACATATTCAAATAAATGTATTCAAATATAAAACAGTTATTTTAAACTAATATTTAGCAATATTTCTGTTTTTACTGTGTCAGCCTTGGTGAACATAAGAGACATAAACAATCTTGCCGACCTCAAACTTTTGAACTGTAGTGTAAATATTCATTTATAAAACATTATTTTTAGGTATTATTCAATCTCTCAATTTGGTGTATCATCTATACTCAATTGACCCTTCGCAAAGACCCGCCCCCCTTAGTTACTGTTACTACGTTCGACAATATGGCACTCTCATGCCACACGTCATGTTCTCACGCAGTGAAAAATACATCGCAAAGCAAAGAGGACACTGACAACATGCCGACAGATAAGACAGAGCAGCAGGTTACTTTTGGTATGAAACAAAGTCTCAGCTTTCAAATTTTGTCATTTTTCAAACAATAAATACTCTTTAATGGCTCTTTAATGTGTCATAACAGATCGCTGTAGTGTTTCAGTTCAAGCAGCACATGAACCGATTATCTCTTCCTCTTTACTCATTATAGCATGAAATAAACATGAATGAACATCAGAACATCAGGTATCTTGTTTCAGCCATGGAAAGACATCAGTACACACCATTTTTCAAGTACAAGTCCACCAACATAAATCTACTCTACTGTTTGTTTGTCGGACATAATGGCAGATTCAGCATTGTGATTGGTCAGATTGCCTGTCAATCAATCTCCCATGGGTGAATTATACTGCTTAACTTATGCTGCGTTCGATTTACCTTGGAAGTCATATGTCGGAGCTGGGAATGACGTCACACCCATATTGGATTCTGAAGTTGGAGTTGTTGCGATTCCTTCGAGATTTTGAGTCGGAACAGTTAAAAGTTCATACTGTGAACTCAGAATTTCCAACTTCCGGTTACACAAAGGACCTCTTTGTTACTATTTTAAGTCACATTTTTTACCTTGGAAGTCATATGTCGGAGCTGGGAATGACGTCACACCCATATTGGATTCTGAAGTTGGAGTTGTTGCGATTCCTTCGAGATTGAGTCGGAACAGTTAAAAGTTCATACTGTGAACTCAGAATTTCCAACTTCCGGTTACACAAAGGACCTCTTTGTTACTATTTTAAGTCACATTTTTAAAAATACTCTGCAGTACCTCATTTCATTTTTGCAGTTAGTTTTAAAAATATTGCACGCAGCAATAAACTCAAGGTCCCCAACAAACACTCAGAGATAGTCAGGATGGAGGAGGGATAGGAGAATTGTCAAAATGTTTGGGGTACCTTGTTACACACATGGTTGCGATTGACGGTTATGAACAGGCTCCTTGCTCCCTTGTTTCCTTCATCCTTCATTCGTATTATCTAACCCGTGATACCCATTAACAAAATCCTAATTTCATCAGTCAGACAAAAAAAAATATATAAATATCTTTATTATTTTATTTGTTTGTTAAACATGCTACTGTGTCTAAAATCACAATTTTCCTTGTGTGCAAAAATATAATGTTTTTAAAACTAACTGCAAAAATGAAATGAGGTACTGCAGATTATTAAAAAAGCTTTTCTTGTGTATTTTGAATTGTCAAATGTTTGAAATGTCTTGGTCGGGATTTAACTCATTTTCAACTGATGCAGGCCACGGACTGTCCAGAAGTAAACACGGTATTCTTGTTCTGTCAGGGTGAAGGACGGCAAACTGCTCGGTCCGTTTGAAATCTGCATGTAGTGATGGCTTATGAATAAATAATCCCCATACGGCATCTCATGCAAATCCATGCAAATGAGGGCTCGGGGCCATACAATTGTGCAGGGTGCGTATGTGTTTATATGTGGAGACGAGAGGGAAGAATTGGGTGTGTTTGTGAATGTATGCGCAGGAGGGTTTCTCAAATATAAGCTTTACCATGTGTATCCACTCTGAATTGATGACTTTGCAGTTAAGACTATTGACATGATTTTTCATTTACCGAGAGTAGCACCGATGTATCACAGTTCTGCAGGAGAATGTGTCTGAGATGTAAAGGTCAGCAAGGGGTTTGCAATACACACACACACACATATATATGAAATTATTTTTTAATGAAATGATACTCTAGATCAGTTTTAATTTTGACAGGCATTTTTGATTTTGTCTTAAGGCCATTTCACACTGAGCACGATGATCCGTGACTTCGGGATAAGGATTGGCTCTAAGGGCTGGGTCGGTCGGGCTGAGGTGCGAAGAGATGGAGAGAGAGAGAGAGATAGAAATTGCAAGCTCATAGACAGGAGTGTGTTTGACCAAAGTCCCTTTTTTGGTTTGAACTTGAAGGTACTTTGATGTTATACAACGATCGGTCTGCGCGGGGCTGTGTCAAATCGTACACACCTCATCTCACAAGCTGACCCTACGAGCCGATGATCCGTGACTTCGGGATAAGGATTGGCTCTAAGGGCTGGGTCGGTCGGGCTGAGGTGCGAAGAGATGGAGAGAGAGAGAGATTGAAATTGCAAGCTCATAGACAGGAGTGTGTTTGACCAAAGTCCCTTTTTTGGTTTGAACTTGAAGGTACTTTGATGTTATACAACGATCGGTCTGCGCGGTGCTGTGTCAAATCGTACACACCTCATCTCACAAGCTGACCCTCCGAGCCGGTCCGTTTTGACGGCACACTTACGCTCACATCCGCATGTAAACATGTCGTCGGTGTGGAAGTTCCTCATTGTGAGTGAAGAAGACACAAAGTTGGCAATTTATAATAAAATATTGACTGTTTTTGCTGAAGTTCGCTGACGAAGTTTCAAAGCCACAGCAGAACTGTTTTGTGTGTCCGAGCAACACAGCGGTGTTTCGATACTGAATGAATCCATGCTTTTGAACGAAATCAAGTGAGTCAATAGCCGAGTTTCCACTGTCGGGCCAAAAGTGGGCGTGATTTTGGGCTCGGTGCTATTAGCCCCGTCCGGGCCGTTTAAAGCACTGGCTCGCACTGGCCCGACAGTGGAAAAGTGGCTAAAGATTCAATAACCCTTTTATAAAGACAGTAGTCACTTGCCTCGTTTCTGAATGAATCAGCGTTTTTTATGAATGACTAATGACTCGCTCATTAAAACAGTCATTTACTGGTGGTTGATTTCATATTTAAATGAACTGCATTTTCCCCAACATTTTTAACTTGTGTTCAAAAATATTTATAACATTAATCTTATAAAATTATTTATGCATTTGAAATTTATTTGTGCATTTATGGCACCTCAGCTTCATCAAACAGTCTGTGTAAATACATCTAATGTCACTTCAGATGCAGCTTCTGTTTCCTCTGCAGTGAAAAGATGGAGTTTGTTGATAGTATGCACACTCTAATGTGAACATTAAAATTTACAAAAATAAATTGCTCCACTGCTCACAAAGAGAAGTATGACCACCAATGACGAGAGTTGCACTGTCCAAAAAGTTTGTGGTATAAATGTGCTTTTTTTACTTGAAACATTTCCTTTATTTTGTTGTCAGAGTGCACCAGAATGCTTCATTTACATGTTAAATTCTCAAAAAAATTCTTCTGGGGGAGGGAATCCCCCAGACCCCTCTACAAGGGTCATATTCCGAACTATGTCACCTTTTTGACCTCTTGTGAGTTTGCAGGTATGCATTTTAGTCATTTGAGTCTTTCATAGATTTAGTCTAATTTTAGTCGACAAGGTCATTGCATTTTTGTCAACTTTTAGTCATTACTTTGTCAAACTGCAGTTACCAACATTTATTTTGGTAGCTATTTTATATGTAGTCTTCAAAAAAAATTTCATTAATTCTTCTCTCTTTAGACCAAATCAATTAAGCTTATGAGAAATTTTAATCAAGGATTGAATTTCGAAAAACTTGAATAAATGATGACAATTTTCATTTTTGGGTGAACTATCCCTTTAACAGCAGTGTTGGGCAGTAACGCATTACTTAGTAACGCGTTACTGTAATTTGATTACTTTTTTAGTAACGGAGTCATTTAACGCGTTATAATTTTCAAAATAGTAATTAGAGTATAGTTACAAGCCGAGGTCTCTATTACTGCCGCGTTACATTGCTGACAGAATGCAGTGTTTTATAATCTAGAGATTGTAAAAAAAAAAAAACTCCCGCAAAATAGAAATATCTAAACATAAAATATCTAAAACAAATAAATTGTTATTCATCTATTGCACAAAAGCAACATGAACTAATATAAAATATAAACGATTAACAGGTGCAAGCCTATGCAGAGTTTCTATTTAGGCTATAACACGTGTTTGCAGCGTTGAGCAATGCAGTGCTGAAATTTGTGTGCTCATGAATCCTCTCATTATAACACACGAATTGTAGACATTATGAAAGATTTATTATGCATATATTTATTGTGTTATAACAGAGATTTGTGAGATTGCGATGGACTGAGATGTCTTTTAGAGATGATAAATGCAGCGCTCTTTGCTGGCATTCTGCCATGCCAAACCATGCACGCAGCAGCCACTTGCTTCAGTTAAAAATAACAGTGTTCTGTGTAGAGGTCGACCGATAGTGGATTTTGCCGATAAAAAATAGCTAGGTTGGACCACACTGGCCGACACCGATTAATTAACCGATAGTTTTTAAAATGGATACTGAACAAAAACTAAAATAATGCTTTATTTAAAAAAACAGTACTGAACCATGCTAGTAGTAGTAGTAATAATAATAACAAAAATGTTGAAATTAACACACTATAACAAGGAAAAATACTTTCATTACGCAGCTTTCATTAATCTTAATGTTACAAATGGACTTATTTTAAAGTGTTACTATTTCATTTTCAACAGTCATGCTTAAAGATGCACATCTTTAAATATATACACAAAGGCCATAGCATTAAAATTATATACACAGCCCTCTACGAACACCTTGGCAATTGAATCGCCATTGGCTAGTACATTTTTTCGTTTACTTGCCAGACTGATTACTGTAGTATACTAAAATGTAATTCTCAAGTAGTAGTAGTAGTAGTAGTAGTAGTAATATTTTTAAGGAATATCCAACCAAGGTATTTTTTCATTAATTTATACAATTATACAGTGCTGTTGTGCAGCATCTTATTTGACAAAAAATAAAAATATTTCTTGTTGTAAATTAATTATGTTTTCATTACATTTTAAAAGATTGATTAAATTGTTAAAGTTGTATTAATTAATTTAATTAGACACCATTTGATATTATGATAAATTTGTATTGATTCATAAAACACAGAATCCAGGAAAATAAAATAGATTTCATGGGGCCTTAAATCAAAAGATAGCTCTGGAGTTTAATTGTGACCAAACAAATTATCTTTACATTAATTCTTAAGGCCTAACAAACATGTGGAAAGCATTTCCTTCCCCATAAATGGTAAATTAATATTGTGATAAATATCAATATTATATATGAAAAAAAAATATTCTGAAAATATTTTTGGCCATATCGCCCAGCCCTTCGCTATGTCTACCAGTAAACAGAACATGAAAAAACTGAGGTGAGAGAGATGTTTGTGTTCCCAGAACACCAACCAAGGCACAAAATTAACACATGCCATTTGTATGGGGGTAGAATTCTTGCATTATTCCAAATAAATAGATTATTATCCACAAATAAATGTAAAGAGATTGACAAAAAATACATAAGTAACATATTGACAAATAAATAGAATGAGATTCACAAATAAATCTCAGAGTTTCACAAACATTAATTAAATTCACAAATAAATAAAATGAGATTTGCAAATAAAAAACATTCACAAATACATTTTTACGTCACAAACACAACTTTGCCTGCCGTTCATTTGTGGATCGCGTCCTGTACATTTGTAGATCGCTACATGCATTTGTGGATCGCTCGCTGTGCATTTGTGGATTTTGAAACATTTCTAGCGTCAAGACGCTGACAATCCACAAATGCTTGGACTCCACCCACCGTCTACTCAAGCCAGTCAGATAACAGCCACACTTCGCTGACCAATCGTAGCATGTTATCGCTATAACCAATCACGCTTTGCTTTACAATTAGGGCAGGAGCAGATTCATTTTGCACCCCTGTAAGGAACTGCATTCTATGGACACTTCGTTCAAATTAGTGCCAACATTTGTGCCAAATGCAAGTAAATGTTCTGTTTGTCCGGACCGCTATGGTTTGTGATAATTTCATTGTCAATTGTGCACTGTCAGTAATGTCACTTACAGTAGTGTTTGTATTGCAGCAGAGAAATGGGGGCCTAAATTTAGACTAAAATATGCATTTTTATGAGTAAATAAATTGAATGAATTATTTTTAAAAGAAGAGTAACTGGAATGGGACTAACCCTACTGCATTTACAGGGAAAAATAAATGACAGTTAGTGTTTATAGAGGAGTGTATGTGTGTTAGGGCTGGGTATCGAGTTCGATACTTTTTAGGCACCGACCGAATTGCCTCGATACCATCAAGTATCGAAAAACGTCTCGTCGTTCGGTACCAAATTTCGATACCTAAGGGGTTAATCGCATCAGCGTCAGTGAGCCAATAAGCCTGCAGCACTAGCCGGTGTGTTCGACTAGAGGCGCGGCACAGATCTATCGGTGTTTGACATCCGCGAAAGCGATTCGAGGTACTGTAATACACCAATCGTTCTGCACTGCACCTTCGGTCCGCGTCAAGTTGAACGGGCTTTCAAAAATAAAGATTTATCGGTTATTGGTATCGGCCAAAATTTTCATATCGGTGCATCCCTAGTATCGGTATCGAAATTTTTTTAACTATACCCAGCCCTAATGTGTGTTCCTACAGGTGGCATGTTAACATCTAGATTGCTGTTGGGTTTTTTATTGTCTATAATTTAGTGATTTAAAACCGCCTCTCAGATTTACATCTGTAGACAGACAAGCTATATGCAGTTTATATAGTAACATTTATATGCTATACACTTTTTGCCACACATAAATATTTTACATTTATTTTCTTAATAAATTAGCCATTCAAAAATCTGACTTGATGGTAAATTACCTTAGAAGTAATATTAGACATCTAATCAGCATAGATGGAAGGAGAATTTCTAAAAAGTGCTTCTAATACAACATTAATTGTATGGGGATTTATAGTATTAAGATGAAATTAAAAATAAACTGTTGGATCCAGCTTGGGGTATTTGATTGATTCAGCCATTGAAGTCTCACTCCAGCTGAGCAACCCTGAATATATGTATTTAAATGCTTTTTAAATGTGTTTTTGGTTGTGGGACAGCAGTTTGGACCAGTTCTGTAGAATGGCCAATATCGGTCTAAACCGCAGTCCCACAACCAAAAAACACATTTAAAAAGCATTTAAGTAGTCAAATCTTAGATAGCCGGTGAGATCCTTCTATTCTCTATTGAAACCCACAATAATATTTAAAATATTAGTAAGCTTAATATATATAAAATCATAATTTATTGGGTACTTTCAATTGGGAGGTGGCTGTCCCAAACCCTA